AAACAAAGTAGTAGTAATCCTGTTAACAGAATGGAACTGATTATAATATAAACAAACTCTCAGGATAACACCACATGCCATTGAAACGTGAATTCCAGTGAAAATAAAGCCAGTTACTAGTTTCCAAAAGTGAGAAAAGAACTAATATTTATGGACTGCTTATCATACAATCATGTCTATTTTATGTGTGTAACTTGGACATATACCATATTATTTAATCCTCCTAAGAACACTATGAAACAAGTACAGTATTGTATTCTTACTTATTAAGAAGGAAACTATAGGCTGGGTGCAGTGGCTTACGCCTGTAATCCCAGCACTTTGGGAGGCCGAGGCGGGTGGATCACAAGGTGAAGAGATCGAGACCATCCTGGTCAACATGGTGAAACCCCGTCTCTACTAAAAATACAAAAAATTAGTAGCCTGTAATCCCAGCTACTCAGGAGGCTGAGGCAGGAGAATTGCCTGAACCCAGGAGGCGGAGGTTGTGGTGAGCCGAGATCGCGCCATGGCACTCCAGCCTGGGTAACAAGAGCGAAACTCTGTCTCAAAAAAAAAAAAAGAAGGAAACTATAGCATAGTGAGAAAAATAAGATTCAAATAAAGTTGGTATGGCTACAAAGCCTAAAACGATGTAAAGTATTATCCAAAGATCTAAAACAAAAACAAAACATATAAGTCCTTGTTTGTGTCCTCTCATTTCCTTGAGCAGTGATTTGTAATTCTTCTTGAAGAGGTCCTTCACCTCCCTTACATGTTGTATTCCTAGGTATTTCATTCTCTTTGTAGCAATTGTGAGTGGGAATTCACTGATGACTTGGCTCTCTATTATTGGTGTATAGGAATGCTTGTAATTTTTGCGTATTGATTTTGTATCCTGAGACTTTGGTGAAGTTGCTTATCAGTTTAAGATTTTGGGCTGAGACAATGGGGTTTTCTAAATATAAAATTATGTCATCTGCAAAAAAAGAGACAGTTTGACTTCCTTTCTTCATATTGTAATACCCTTTATTTCTTTCTCTTGCCTGACTGCCCTGGCTAAAACTAACAATACTATATTGAATAGGACTGATGAGAGAGGGCATCCTTTTCTTGTGCTGGTTTCAAAGGGAATGCTTCCAGCTTTTGCCTAATCAGTATGATACTGGTTGTGAGTCTGACATAAACATCTCTTATTATTTTGAGATACGTTCCGTCAATACCTAGTTTATTAAGAGTTTTTAGCATGAAGTAGTATTAAATTTTATCAAAGACCTTCTCTGCATCTATTAAGATAATCATGTGGTTTTTGTCTTTGGTTCTGTTTATGTGATGGATTATGTTTATTGATTTGCATACATTGAACCAGCCCTGCAACCCAGGGATGACGCCAACTTGATCGTGGTGGATAAGCTTTTTGATGTGCTGCTGGATTTGGTTTGTCACTATTTTATGGAACATTTTTGCATCAATGTTCATCAGGGACATTGGCCTGATATTTTGTGTCTCTGCCAGGTTTTGGTATCAGGATGATGCTGACCTCATAAAATGAAGTAGGGAGGAGTCCCTCTTCTTTATTGTTTGGAATAGTTTTAGAAGGAATGCTACCAGCTCCTCTTTGTACCTCTGGTAGAATTTGGCTGTGTAACCATCTGGTACCAGACTTTTTTTGGTTGGTAAGCTATTAATTACTGCCTCAATTTCAGAATTTGTTTTTGGTCTATTTAGGGATTTGACTTCTTCCTGGTTTAGTCTTAGGAGGGTGCATGCGGCCAGGAATTTATCCATTTCTTCCAGATTTTCTAGTTTATTTGCATAGAGTTGTTTATAGTATTCCCTAATGGTAGTTTTTATTTCTGTGGGATCTGTGGTGACATCCCCTTTATCATTTTTTATTGTGTCTATTTGATTCTCTCTTCTTTATTAGTCTTGCTAGCAGTCTGTTTTGTTGAATGTTGAATATTGGCCCCAAGCTCTTCTGGCTTATAGGGTTTCTGCAGAGAGATCCACTATGAATCTGACAGGCTTCCCTCTGTGAGTAACACAACCTTTCTCTCTGGTTATTGTCCGCTCTGGATAACAGAAACTGTCACAAAATAATAGCAATAATAATAAGGCACTACACATAAGCACATAATAAGTTGACTCTGTATGGTAGCAAGGAATCAAAAAAGGCTTCAATTGGGAGCAAAAAATGCTTGGTATGGTATACCTTACTTAAATACTAGATGCAACTCAAGCCAAAATTTGAAGAGTGGAGTCTGCAGACAGAGAATCATGATAAGGATATTCTAGGGAGAAAGAAGCCACAGTTGCAAAGGCACAGTTTTAGAAAATCTGGCCATAGTGGCTTACACCTCTAATCCCAGCTCTTTGGGAGGCTGAGGTGGGCAAATCATCTGAGATCAGGAGTGCAAGACCAGCCTGGCCAACATAGTGAATCCCTGTCTCTACTAAAAATACAAAAATTAGCCAGGCTGAGATCTAGCCACTGCACTCCAGAATGGGCGACAGAGTAAGACTCCACGTCAAAAAAAAAAAAAAAAAGCTTTAGAAAATCTTAAAGCAGTTTAGTATAGCTAAAGAATAAGATGCTTGTGACATGTAGTAAAGAAGTAAAAACAGGTGAAGTCAAGGAGGTGCCATGCTAAGAGCCTGCACTTTTTACTGTAAGGAACTGGAAGCAATTCTTAAAGTGTAATCAGGTTGCTATTTTACAAAGACTACCTCATCAAGTTTAGACGAATGTGGGGGCAGGGATAACCTTTTAGAAGGCTACCACAAATAGTCCAGGTAATATAATTCATAATCTCTTGGCTTTAGACTACCATATCTAATTATCTACCTGACATTTTGGATCTCTCACATTTGGGATCTCTCACAGACATTTTTAGCTTAAATGTTTAAAACCAGTCTTGATTTCTCACCAAATCTGTGTGTCCCTGCAGCCTCAGTAAATAGTACAACCATGAAAGTTACTCAAACCAGGTTTCATTCTTGATTCCTCCCTTCCCCTAAACCACCTAAGTTGAATCCACTTATTATTCATTATTCTCAAAATAGTAACATATCTTAAATCTATCCTTTTTTCCCCAGTTCCATTGCTATCACCAAACCCAAGCCATCATCACCCCTCAACATGATTAGTGCAATAGCTCCCAACTGGACGCCTCTACATTTCCCTTAATACCAGTTGGTTTCTTTAAAGTACTTATTGTTATTGGCAATTATTTTTCTGTGTTTCCTTAAATTTTGTCTCTTACTTCTGTTAGAATGCCTTCATAAATCAAGGACCACAGACTTTCTTATGGTTTTATTTCAGCACTCTAGCACCTGGCATCAGCCTGATTAACAGAAATGATACTAATTTAAAAAGCAACACACACTGATTGTGTGTGAAGTACTATTTTAAGTGTTTTATATATAAGTTATTTAATCCTCACAAAAGCCTCTGAGGTAGGTATTCTTATTATCTCAGTTTTACAGACAAGGAAACTGAGACACAGATGGTCAACTAATCTGTCCAAGGTAATACAATGACACAACAAAGAATCAGACGTAGGCAGACTATAGCCTATAGTCTCGATTATTCATTACCTCTTTTAGTAGATGCTCAATAAATATCCCATGAACAAATAAATGAATGAGAGAATACAGAGAGTAGAAACAGATTTAGGGGTAAAGATTATGGGCTATGATATGGAACATGCTGAATTTGAAGTACTTGGAGAAGGCTGTGAAGTACAGTGGGATAAGTAGTTTTAAGTTAGAGACAAGCATTTGGAAGTTATCAGGATCCCCTGGAAGCGGCCTACAAAATGCAAGTGTCTGTATTTAAAAAGTGATTATATAATTTACAAAACAGGATGTGCTTTTAAACTGTAACCATTTTGATTGAATTCTTTTTTTTTTTTTTTTTTTGAGACAGAGGTTCCACTCTTGTTACCCAGGTTGGAGTGCAATGGTACAATCTTGGCTCACTGCAACCTCCACCTCCCAGGTTCAAGGGATTCTCCTGCCTCAGCCTCCCAAGTAGCTGGGAATACAGGCATGCACCACCATACCCAGCTAATTTTTTGTATTTTAGTAGAGACAGGGTTTCAGCCTGTTGGTCAGACTGGTCTTGAACTCCCAACCTCAGGTAATCCATCCACCTCAGCTTTCCAAAGTGCTGGGTTTACAGGCATGAGCCAATGCACCCAGCTTGTCGAATTCTATAATAGCAATGTTTTAACAAAGCACAGAATGGCCCACTGAGCCTCAATGACACCTATGAAAAATTCTGTATTGTTAATATGAAATGGAATACTGGGCTTTCTTTAAAAAGTCATATTCAGGTCTGGGTGTGCTGGCTCACGCCTGCAATCCCAGCACTTTGGGAGGCTGAGGTGGGCAGATCACGAGATCAAGAGATCAAGACCACCCTGGCCAACATGGTGAAACCCTATCTCTACAAAAATACAAAAATTAGCTTGGCGTGGTGGCACAGCTAATTTTTGTATTTTTGTTGTCCCAGCTACTTGGGAATCTGAGGCAGGAGAATTGCTTGAACCAAGGAGGTGGAGGTTGCAGTGAGCCGAGATCGCGCCACTGCACTCCAGCCTGGCGCCTGGCAACAGAGCAAGAGACTCTGTCTCAAAAAAAAATTCATATTCAGTGTCTCTATAAATGTCAAACTTGCATTTTGTTAAAAGTGCAGAGATTATTTTTAAATTGACAAAAATCCTAATAGATTACAAGAAAAACTGAGAATAACAAGAAAAATGACTGAAAAAGAAGAGAAGCACACTTTACCTACTAGATACCAAAACACAAAGTTATAGAAATTAAGATAATGAGTATGTACAAGTCAAATAAAGACAGAAAAATGAAAAAGAAGTGTCCAAAGAGAACCAAGTACAAATGAGAATTGTGAATATGATAAAAATGATACTTTAAATTAGTGGGTGTGGAGACATGAATTATTGAATAAATGGCTCAATCACAGCTCATTGAAGCCTTGACCTGGGCCCAAGCCTCACCTCAGCCTCCTGTGTAGCTGGACCACAGTTGTGCACAACCACATCCAGGTAATTTTTTTATTTTTTGTAGAGACCAAGTGTTCCTCTGTTGCCCAGGCTGGTCTAGAAATGCTAGACTCAAGTGATTCTCTCGCCTTGACCTCCAAAAGTGCTGAGATTACAGGTGTGAGCCTTATACTGTATAGTCCAAATACTCTTCAAGTCTTATTTAACTTCATTGAGCCTCACTTTCTCCAACTATAAAAATGTCAAAGAAGACTTACAGGTGGTTGCCAAGGAAAATGTAGTTATCATACATAACATTATTTCTGGCTCAGATGAAATGCAGTAAAATGATGGCATCATTACAATTTACTGACTGGATTTACACTGAAAGAACTGCCGACAAAAACAAATTTAAAAAACTAAACATCCACAGAAGATCGCATTGCTAAATTACCATTGACTACGCATTAAAAAGCAAGGGACTACACTTTGCCAGGTAGATCTACAAAAACATCTTGCAAAAGGTAGAGTTACATTCCTATATTTAGCAGGATTACACTATAAAATTTACCATCTACTTCGTATATAAACATCGTTCCTGAGTATTGGACACAGACTTATTAGTGCTTTAGTAAAAATAATGCAAAGAGGAAAATGTGCTTATTTTAATTCAAAGGTAAAATGGAAAGAAGAGACCAAATAAACACACAAAATGTGACTAAAGAAGACTTAACTTAGAAAGAGATTAAAAGAGTAAGTGACATTACAATTTTGTTTTGTCTCTCTCTTCCTCACTACTTTTGGACAAGGAGCCTGTCTTTTTAAGCACTGCTCTACCCACAAACTCTGGTATAGTACCTAATACAGTGTAACCTCTCATACCATAAATACAAGAGGATTTATAAGAGAAAAATCTCAGTAAAATCACGGAGTAAACCGAATTAGAATTGATCTGAGAAAGTCTCAGTCAAAATCATAAGGAAGAGTATAAGAATAAAGGGCAAACGCATAGGGAGGGAAAGCCTTTTCTGTAACTTGTATCTCCTTTATTCAGTCAGTTTTCCTGGGGACCTTAAATGTAATGTCCAAAAGCATATCTACAGTAGCCCTTGAACTCCGAAGGGGGCATAAATCAGGGCCTGACATGCTAAGATTAGGCTGTGGGCTCCTTAATCTTTTTAATGATGACTTTATTCATCGGTTTCTTATAGTTGGCACCTCGTAGTCACCTGTTTTTTGTTTGTTTTTGAGACGGAGTCTCGCGATCTCGGGTCACTGTAACCACCTCCCGAGTTCAAGCGATTCTCCTGCCTCAGTCTCCCGTGTAGCTGAGACTAGAGGCCCACGCCATCACGCCCAGCTTTTTTTTTTATATTTTTAGTAGAGACAAGGTTTCACTATGTTCCCCAGGTTGGTCTCAACTCCTGACCTCAAGTGATCCGCCCGCCTCGGCCTCCCAAAGTGCTAGAATTACAGGCGTGAGCCACCGCGCCTGGCCGCCACTCGTTTAATGGATGGTCATTACTCAAAGAATGCCATTCTTGATTATCAATCCTTCAAACCTGGGCCCTTTTCTGTGACTGTTTTCCTTCAAACCCGACTTTAGAAGCGTGTTTGTAAAAATGGGAGGAGTTAGTTCACAACTTCGAAGCCTTCTTTATAGTTCAAACTGACCACGCGAAGCCTAAAGGCATTAGAGGTACCTTCTATAAATTTATCCCTGCAATTTAATAGCGAGCAGGCCAAGACTATAAAGAATGGGCTCCCGGGATTGATGGCCGGGGTGGAGAACAGCATGAGGGGCCTAGGAATTACCCCCATCCCAGGTCACCCACTCTTTCTTAAAATGCAATTAAATTCCGTTCAACTTTTTATCTCCCACGCGAGAAACTAGGGACTTGCCCGCCACGCCAAGCCACTTCCAGACAGTCACACCTGGTGTATTCGCTGCAGACGCTCCAACTCCCGCCACGGGTTTAGGACGTGTCCGCCCCTAAGCGGAAGTGACGTTCAACGAGACAAAGTGAAAGCAGACGAGTTTAAATACGTCCTAATAGTTTAAAAATCCCTATGGTGTTATGAGAAAACTCTACTGGCCACCCGTCTTCCATCTTTTTTCTCTTCTGTTAGGGTTGCGAAAAGGACTCAGTACGGCCTTGAGACAACTCGTTCCTAATTCCAAATCTTTCACAAAACTCTACTCCTTTTTATTGGCTGAGGCTGCAGCTTGGGTACCTCTCAGGAACTACAATTCCCGTCAATCAAAGCGAGAAGTGAACGGAGGAGATGTTGTGAGTAGGGTAAAAGCGTGTTGGGAATTGTAGTCCGCTCCTGGCCGAAGAGCCCAATCACCCCGCCCTCCGCCACTGGAGCTGGAGAAACCAGGTGTTCGGTTTAGAACCCGTTAGCGCTAAGGGGAGGAGCCAAGCCCTTAAGCAGCATACCTCACGTTGCCCCACATGGAGAATGATAATTTTCCTTTACTCCTAAAAAGCACTATAAATACTCCCTGAGGAGAGATGGTTGTCTTTTAAATACCTTGGGTCAGTAAAAACTCCTGAAACTCCCTCACCTTAGGCTCCAACTCGTGGGAAAAGGTGGCTCTTTCACAAGTGGGCAAAATGGCTGTCCTCCTAGTTTTACCATTGGTTGGCTTTTGCGTCCTTCAAGGGCGGTTACTTATCATGGATTGGTTCTTTTTCCCTTGAGGTTGGGGGAAGACTTGGCATGGCTCTCCCGCGGCCTGGGAGGAGATAACGGGGTGGAGAGAAGGCAACTTTTTCAAGCGTGATTGGGCAGTACACATGTCACTCCGAGGACGTGCAGCCTATGAGTAGTTGGCTGCCGCTCAAAGAGAACGAAGAGGCGGGGCTAGTGCGTGGTGGGAAGGGGCGGGATTCTGCCAGCAGCGGCTGCCGCTGGAGCCGGTGTCCGGGCTGGTGATGGGGTTAATTCCCTTTCGTAAGACTCTTACTTGCACCCACCCAGCCCCGCCGTCGCCCCGCCGCGCCGCGCTCCAACCGCCTCCTCCTCCTCAGTAACGCGGGTAAGAGATGCCCTCCCCTCCCCCGTGCAGCTCCCCGGGAATAACGCGCCTCGCTCCCCTCCCCCGCCCGCCAACCGGTAGCGCTAACGGAGAAGGAGGCAGGCAGGGGAGAGATGTGGTGACTGAGAAGGTGGCCTTCCCCGTCGGGTCGTCGGCGCTCCAGCCCGGGCCTTACGACGGCCGGCTGCTACCAGCCCGCCTGGAGGTCGGGTTCCGCGGGAGCCAGGCTCGCCTGGCCCGCGGCTGCGGCTGCAGCCGCAGCCACTACCTTGTGCCCACCGCCCCCACCCGGGGGCCATGTGAAAAGCAAACCCCTAGAGGCCTAGCGGAGGAGGCAGGGGAAAGGTTTCCGAGTCCCTGCCATGGCTGCTGCTGCTGCTGCAGCCTCCACCGCGGCTGCTCTCGCAGCCCCGGGGACTCAGGAGCCAGCCACAGCAGGCCTGCCAGGAGCGTGTGCTGCTCTCTCGGGTGGCTGGCGCCGATGCCCCGGGCTCCCGCGGCCGCAGCCCCTGGCCTTGCACCGAGAGAAATTTCACCTTCGGCCGATTGGTGAAATGTAGGTGCATTTTGCCTGTGGTACCAGAAGCAGCACAATGAGGATATTAAAAAGAAAGTTGAATGACTGTCAATGCCACGGTCCCCCGGGATCAGATTTACACACGTTTTTATGCCTTAGTCTTAGGCTGCCAAAAAAATCTTTGTGTGCTTTGAAGTTTTTTGGTGTTTCGTTTTCTTTTGTTGTTGTTATTGGGTGCAAAGGGTGCCTCTGTTGAGCTTGTTTTTATAAAGAGACAAGTTATTGGGGCCATCATGCTCCGTGTATAATTGTCCTGGGATAGCAAGTCAACTGAGTAAAAGGTGAAGAGGTGCTTTCCAAATTAGTAAGGATTAGTAAACAGCGAATGGTTTTTCTAATAAAATTTTCTAAATTTAGATATATCTTCTTGGTTATAGTTTACCTAATTGTAACTTTGAAGAAACCCTTTGCTTGTAGCTTAAATGTCATTGATGACGAAAACTTTTTTTTTTTCTTTTGCTCTGTCCCTAGACTGGAGTGCAGTGGCGCAATCTTGGCTCACTGCAACCTCCGCCTCCCGAGGTCAAGCGATTCTCCTGACTCAGCCTCCCAAGTAGCTGGGACTACAGGCGCGTGCCACCACGCCCAGCTAATTTTTGTATTTTTAGTAGAGACCGGGTTTCACCATGTTGACCAGGATGGTCTCGATCTCTTGACCTCATGATCTGCCCGCCTTGGCCTCCCAAAGTGCTGGATTACAGGTGTCAGCCAGCGCGCCCGACCTGATGACAAAAACTTTTAAATGAAAAGATAGTTAAAGTCAAACTGGAAGTCTCCCCATTTATAATATTTGAAGCACGATCTAAGTATTTAGTAGGATACCAGCCTGATAGGAATAATTGGACACTTCTCAATTTCTGAAATTTTGGCATATTTGGCTATTTTCAGGGCATTCTGTTGTGATTTCTGCATCATATTTTGATTGAATGCTCATCATTTCAAATACCACTCTGCTTTTTTTGCCTGGGAGAATATGTCTTTAAATCATGGATTCTATAGTCTATAGTAGACATGCTTGTGATCAGAGATAAAATTCTAGACCCATTTCTGAGGTTTACTTGTTAGCGGAATAAGCTTGGGTTCTGAAGAAATATCTTAGTTTTGATCATTTCCTCAGGGTCTGAGTATGGTGGCTTAATGGTCTGCTGTATTCCATAACTAGTACACCTAGATACAGAATTGACATAGATATATATATTCAAGTCCTGGAGGAAATTTGGGTATCTATCAAAAAATGAAAATTGCCAGCCATGTAGTAGTGACCTCTAGTCCCTGATACTCAGGAGTGAGGTGACAAGATCACTTGAGCCCAGGGTTCAGGGCTAGCCTAGGCAATGTCTCAAAAAAAACAAAACACTGTCTCAAAAAAAAAAAAAAGAAAGAAATACATAGCCTTGGAAGGTAAGTCCCCTGAGATCCTCACAAAGTTTCTGTCACATATTTTGCCAGCTGCCAGCATAGTATTTTCCAAAACTTATTAGTTAATTGATAAATTATACAATTGATACTTTCAGATCTTGTGTGAAAGAGAAAGGGCTGTTGAAATTATAGGAGTCTTCTACATTTTCTTCCTGGCTGTTGGATCTCTCCATGAACCTCAGTTCGGTTTCTTCATCTGTAAAATGATGATATGCTTAGGGAGTTACGAAAATTAGAAATAAAGTCTGTAAATCCTCTAGCATTGTGCCTGATACATAGTTTGTGTTATTAAATATTAACCATTGTTATTTTCATGCACAGAGAATGGGTTTGTTGCTCATGTGTTCAGGGTGTTGCAACCTTAGAACATATTCTGTTTCTGAAAAATACCATAAGCGTATTAATTTAGTGACTTAAGCGCAGTTTGTGGCTAGTCATATTTTACTAGCTTACAGAAGTTTTTTTGACTTTGATTTAAAATGCAAGTGTCTGTGGAATATATTTCATATGAATTATTGGGAATAAAAATTAGTGTGCTCCATGTAGTGGTTAACTATTATAATATCTTTTAAATTTTATTTATTTGATATATGTTTCAAGCTCCAGTTTATATCCATATTCAAGCTCTAGTTGCTATCCATATTCATTGTGCTACCAGGAGACATTTGAACTGTTTAATACAGAGTTAAGATTAAGCAAATCATTTGAAATTGTTATGACCATATGTGACTACAGTTTTGTTGCTGTTCTTTTTAATTCTCCTTATTTATCAACATTGAGTGTTTCTTTTCTGTGAAACAGCATGTGAGTGATGCTATTCCTTTCTCTTCCCAGTCATTTCTGAAAATTTGCAGTCCTCACACATAATAGTGTCCTTGGAATTTGTATAGTTAAACAAATTTAAGGTTAGCATGAAGACAGTTAAATTACGAAGTCTTTCTGACAGGAATGCCCTGCCACGGTTCAAGGCAAGCTGTACCTTATACAAAATAATGAGCTGAGGCATATATGGTGGGCCTCCCAAGTCGTTAGACCTAGTACAAATGGGTGCTCCTCCAAGGTCTTACATGACAGCAGCAATAGAAAATTATATAAACTTGAAATAAGCTTTGTCAAGTATTATGCAGAAGATGTACATTGCCTTGCCTTGCAAGTAACAGTTTTATTTTTCTTTTTTTGAACTGGTACTTTAGTATACCTAATTATATCTATTTGAGTTAGTATTAAGTTTTAATTTCTCAGAAGTAAATTAGTGAAAATTGGTAGCAGTTTTGTTTTTCCTATTCTTGAAAATGTTTCAGTGATAAACAAGGCTTGATGGGTTTGTAAAATACTGTTGCTTTCTGAATTAGAAAATTTCACTATTGACACTTTCCATAGTCTATTATAAATAAGTTGAGGAGTTAGTGTGTCAAGGAGGTGTGGTAACAAATGGCAATGTAATTTTCAAATAACTATTGCAGTACTAAATCACAGAATCAATACTCTGTCTTTATAGCCACACTTGCATATAGGGATAATTATTTCTTACAACTTAAGGTAACTAAAATGGGGGACCGGGCAGGGTGGCTCACACCTGTAATCCTAGTACTGTGGGTGGTCAAGGCAGGCGGCTCACAAGGCCAAGAGTTTGAGACCAGCCTAGCCAATATGGTGAAACACCGTCTCTACTGAAAATACATAAAATAGCTGGGTGTGTTGGCAGGTGCTGGTAGTCCCAGCTACTTGGGAGGCTGAGGCAGGAGAATTGCTTGAACCCAGGAGGTGGAGGTTGCAGAGAGCCAAGATTGTGCGACTACACTTCAGCCTGGGTGACAGAGTGAGACCCTGTCTCAAAAATTAAAATAAATAAATAAAATAAAATGAGATATC